TAAAATGTAGACATTGACGACATGTTGAGACACCCTATGGTGAGCTGATGACCCTATTGAACTATCCACATATATTTATTATTCTATTGGTTTCTAAACTCTTGATAACAAATAATGTTTACTCAGTTATTCATGGGCTTTCAGAGGAGTAATATTTATACATAATTGTGAAGCTTGATAAAAAGGGTAGTAATAGCTATGATCATAGAACTTGATAAGGGTTACATTAACACATATTATCATAGAGCTTGATAAGACTAATATTTATGCACTTGACAAAATACACACCTATTCGTCTAAATCAACTTAATTTATTATTTTTGCTCGGAAAATGTGGTAGAAATGTTATTTACGAATAGATTAAACATCTTATAGTTTAAACTAGATAAAAATAGACTACCAGAGGCTGCTATAAACTAAAATAATTATAAGAATTAATTTCAGTGATAATAAAAACAAGGGCAAGAAGCTCAAATTCACTTTTTATATAACTTTTCATTTTCTGCCCTAGTTCCAATTACCAGGGAAAGCATCACAAAGAAGGACTGTATTGTAAAATGAAGAGTGATTTGGCTTGCATGTACAACATCCATAATACAGATACATGTACATAACCTATTTACACTAATAGACAGGCGCGGACTGGCCTAACGAGACACTGGGAAAAATCCCGGTGGGCCCCCTCGGAAAAGTACGTAGTTTTGTTATTGTTATGACAAACTTGTACGCCCCTTCTAGCTTTTTTCCCGATGAAATTTCAGAGTCCCGTACGTCCCTGCTAATAGAAAGATCAGAGTTGAATATACGCAAAAAAGTTGCTTTTTTGTTGAAACAGATACTGGATGAGTTTACAAAAAAAACGGATTTAATTTATGAACTTTTAAATGACAAGAGAAATTATTGATAAATCTATAGAACTAAACTAAGTGCGGAATACCCCCCCCCCCGCCGGTGGCTCAGCAGTAAGTCTGACGCTAAAGGTCGGGTTTCGATACCCATGATGAGTAGAGCACAGATAACTGATTGTGTAGCTTTGTATTTAACAAAAAACAAACCAAGTACAGAATAAAATTCCAAGGGTTGTTACTTAAGAAGAAGTAGTTTTAGTGACTTGTTAATTCCATTAAAATTTCCTAAAATTAATATTGCGTAAGATATTATTTTACTACCACGATTCCATTTTCCTGAAATATATTGTGGTGTTTATCTGACGTATTGTTACATTTATTAAGATTTTATTTAATTTTTGTTTATGACATAAATTTGTGAGGGTGTCGTTTAAAAGTAAACGTCACGTATAGCCTATTAGGCTGAAATATATAGGGGTTACAATCAGAATCTTCAAAGAAGAAAGTTTTTAATTTCAATTGATTTAGGTCATCTGGTAACATAGATTATGTTAATGAGATCAAGGTTGTTACAGAAAAAGATACTTATGCAATAATAATGGGAGACTTTGATTTTAGCCATATTGATTTGGATTATGTGGAGTCAAATAGTGAAGGAGAAAAGTTTCTTGAAGTGATTGAAAATGATTTTCCATATCAAATGGCCAGAAAGTCAACAAGAGGGGAATTCATTCTAGATTTGTTGTTAAGCACTAATGAGGATTTTGTTAAAAGAGTTGAATTGAGAGAATATATAGGAAAGAGTGACTATTATATAATTACGTTGTTTTAAATTCAAGACATGCATGTTACTAAATGAAGAAAAGGATAATGAGGAAGATCACACCGAATTTGCTAATTATAGACATAAAAAGGAAAATCTGGAATAAATACTTTAAGTTTAAGAAGTTTAAATAAACTGAGTCATAAGAGAGAAGATTTTAAAATATATATAGAAAAGTTAAAGATTTAGTTAAAAGGAAATTAGGATATCAAAAAAGGGATTATAGTAAACAGCTGGTTGATTATGTTAAAACTAATAACAAGGATATTTTGAGCATATTAAGGATAAACAAAATGTTAAAGTGGAGGTTGAGTCCTTAAAGGATGCTGATGATAAGAGTTTTGTTGAATAAAATGTAATGACCGAGCGTTAAATATTCTTCATCATTTGCTTTTACAAAAGAGAAACTTTTCAAAGCCCCAGATCCTGAGTATCCTTAGGGAAATATTGGAATTTATCTGAATCATGTATATATTAATCCACTGGTGGCCAGCGAAAAGATTGAGGAATTATAAATAGATAAAGCACCAGAACCAACTAAAGTTTTCCAAGGGTTTTATAAGAGGTTAAAGATCATACAGATGTGCCTCTCTCTTTCATTTTTGGTAAGTCAGCAGACAGTGGGCAGGTGCCTGAGGATTGGAGAGTTGCTGATGGGCTAATGTTACTCCTAGGCTATCTAAACTAAATTAAGATCTGACTTTAAATGAGCTCTTAAATGAGACAAGGATAAAAATGTACAGGTAAAAGTAGAAGAAAGAAGACGCTTTATTAGCTTTAAAAAATCAAGTACTAGCTTGCTATGTAACCATCAGTTTCATTATGAAAAAGACGAACTAATAACCCAGGAAGGCTGGCTATCTTTCAAAAACTTCAGTAAAAACACCGAAAAAGTGCTAAATTTCTAAATACGGTAATAATAATTAAAAACTAAATTATTGGTAGATCGAAATAGAAAAAAAATTCTATACTACGGTATAGACCGTTATTTTGGTCTGGATATTTTTTCCTCTTTTTTTTCTATACCTCGCCTCTCTAACATTTTATAATTACAGATCCCCTACGACCGTTTTCTCCATATGTCATGTCATGCATTTAATAGTTTTATCACCGGCTGTGCGTCTGGTTACTTAACAACAGCTTCAACGTGTTCTGGTACTTCAATTTATCCGCTCCAAGGGCTGCGCCCTTTCTCAATGAGTTTGGCTAATATAGTTTTTCACTCAATTACGAATCATCGGTGGAGTTTCGAAAGGCACTGTAGCCCCGTCAAAAGCACTTATACTGCAACCCAGGCGATAGTGTGTTGCTGCCAAGTTCTAAACTTCTACATCTTCTCGAGCGTTTGGCAGAGAAATATACTACCGATGCGGGAGCAGTAAATGGAAATACTAACCTATTTATATAAGCAGTGAGAAGTTCGTGAACAAGGAGCAGGGAATAAACACAACATCCTGACAAGTGACACGAAGTCGCAATGGCACGTGTAGCCCAGGCTTGCGGAAAAATACCGGAAATTTCTCTGAGTGTATATACTTAAACACCAGGCCCCAGATGCGACTGAGTATATTATTAAGGGTTAAATAGGCGGGGTGCAGTCACCGACGAAACACTTGAACAATATTAGAAAGATATTTCTTTTGCCAGAACGTGGACAGTTTCACCTGATATTTTGTCTGCATATCATATTGTCGAAAACGGCATATACTATTTTTAGAGGCCATATACGTCTATGACCTTTTTAAGTTGAGAATTGTATTAGTAACTGGAATTATTTATTACCTTCTGGTAACGCTAGGCGTATTTTACTAGACCGAAACAGATTACTGAATGTGATGATTAAGACATAAATGGCTCAAATGGCAGCTTAAAGGGTTTTATTTTTAAATAACAAGAGAATTGAAAAGAAGAGAAACACTTTTCCATATAGCATATTATCTAATTGCAAATTATACCACCTACCACTACAACAAATATCTTAAGCTGTCGCTGATGTTGTGGGTTGCTGTAATGTTTTTAACTGAATCAAATATTCACATATACCAAAATTAATATTTCTGTTGATTCTCGGCTTCATTCTTTTGTAATTTAAAGTTACAAAAATTTGCTTGCAGTTCCCAATATTATATTTATTTACACTAAAGAAGAAAGGCGGAAGTGTTTGGTGTAAACATTTATTTATTTACTTATAAAAGAACGTTCATGAAAGCTGTTGCGTGAATAAAACTGTTCCTGAACCTTCTGAAATTCATTTTACTTTAAAGCTTTAAAAATGTTAGTAAAAGCAGCGAAGCTTTTGAAAAACTTATCGTTTTAGAAATTTTCGTAACTGTTATTTAAAAATATCAAAAGGTTAAAATCAAATAATGGAAACATTGCATGCATAAGATTCCTTCCCAAATTACCACTTGCTTTGAAAATGTATTTGAAATAATACTGAAAGTATCTATAAAGTTAGCGAATTAATAGCTTTTAACAATCTAACCTTTTCATACAGTCTTATGAAATCTAGCCGCTGAATGTTCTCTTAAAATTGACAACAGTGTTGAATTATTTGAAGTTACACCTATACATATATATATATAGAGAGAGATTTTTGAAACACGTTATACCTTAAAGAGGTCTGACTTTCCATTGAATAAGTAGGAATATTTTGTGTTGTCAATACATCTACGGAACATATAAATAAATATAACTAGCAAAAATTGTGTGATTATTTTAAATCATTTTTTTGAATCAGAGAAAGGTAATAATATACAGTTTTATCACATGTTTATGTATTTGTCGACAGAGGGCACTGAAATATAATTTCGTAATACTGTGTGCAATAACTGCTACACTAGCAAAATGTCTGATATCCTTTGCTTAACCTTTAACATTAAAAGTAAAACCAGTTACCGAACTATTTTAAACAGTTCTATTATTTGGTAAAAACTGCGTTAAAACAGTCTCCTTGCTTAATTTAACTTGTAGTAGCGAATAATTAGGTTTAGAAGTACAGTAAATGTTCAGTAAACTTTATACTTCATGATAAGTATCTCTTGTGAACACTGAATATTTTAAAAGTGAGTAAACATGTCAGTTGTAAAGGAGTATTTCATGTAATAAGCTACAAATAATAATAAAACTAGGAAATTCGAAATTTCGGTCCCTGGCACTTCACTAGACAGACAAAATTTGGCTTGACAGTATATGTCAAATATTTTTTAGGTAGTTACACTAGTACCACGCACGACCAACTAAACATAATTTTACAATCACTAAAACAGAGCTGTTCATTAGATCTAATTTACCATGCTTATAAGTTCAACTTTTCAGCTTGTCTGTCATTACGTTTCAAGGCCTGCTGGTAGTATGTTTCTATGGTACTCAAGTGTAAGAATACAGAAATTTCCGAGAACTGGTGCGTAAATCTTGACGTTATTAATACTTTATAATAACACTTCAGATTTAGATAAGTTTCATGATACAACAGCGTAGGTATGATATTGTCCTTTTATTGTTTTAGACTAATTAAAGGCCCGGATGGCAATCACTTGGCAATCATCATAATAATACAGATATTTTACAAGGAATGTGATGTGCCAATATAACACCGTTTGAAGTAGAAAGATCAACGAATACGTGCTTGAATGTTTAATAAATACGCCTAAACCGCCCACAGTGACAACCTTATCTTAAGTGTTTCCTTAAATGTTCACCAGTAAATATTGGTAAAAGCAAGACATTGCTTGAGATTGTTTCATTTTTGAATCTAGCGTGAAGTTGTGAGAACATCAACTTTACCACGACCCTTATAGTCCAGTAGTTGTGTTGTATATTGTTTCAATGTAACTGTTTGTATACGTGTGAAAGAAGTAGGTCACGTGTAGTTAAACATGTCTATGTTTATTATTCATCAACCATGGGAACACTTTTAACACTGAGTATATATATACATGAGAAGAATCCCTTATCAAAATTTGAAAATAATAATCAAAACGTCTTTACATTCGTGTGTTGTATTGAAACATGTGACTACGAAGAGAGGATGAGTAGGAAATCTAAAAAAAAAATCTTAATTTTATCAAAACTAGAGGCGTTGCTAGGTGCTTAAATGATTCGGGGCTCGTGCACATGGGCGCTGGAATTTTCGGCATTTTAGTATGATATCGATCATGCTTTTCTATTCTGGTATTTCAAGACACCAAGTGGGCATTCGGGGCACTGTCAAACAGCCCCCGCGTGCCAGCACCTAGCAATCCCCTCTGGTCAAAACTAAAAGAAATGTAATCAAAATATCATAATAAATGATTGATGTTGTAAATAAATAAGTAATTTTGTGTTATTAATTCTTATTCGAATAATTCTTTTTTGTTTTTGTTTTGTTGTTAAGCGCAAAGCTTCACAATGGGCTATCTGTACTCCGCCTACCACTGGTATCGAGCCCAGATGTTTAGCTTTATAAGTCCTCATACTTACTGCTAAGCCACTGGAAATCATTTTGATTTGTAAGTGACTTAAAAATAAATTTGATTATAAATGCACTTCGCTTACTTAATATAGTTCACACCGAAATAGTTGTTGCTCATGTAATTTATAATATAAATAGGCCAAATAGCACTTAGATCACTAATTAATATATATGTAGTATCCTAGCCGGTCTGATGAGCTCTGGTATTGGCCAAAGGCCTCTTTGATACTGGATATGGCAGATATAGTATGGTTGAGATATTATTACATATTCTTCTTTGCTTCACTTATAAATTTTTACAATTTCTAGCTTAGATGACACTTATGATGAGAACGCATGCTACTCAACTAAGACCTTCGTCTATCTATTGCGTGGCGGGAAAAGGGGCATAGCGTACTTGTGAAAAGCTAGATAAATATAAGTGTCACAACAACAAAATTAAGAATAAACTGCAATTGTCGTAAGCATCTATAAAAATAAAAAGTGTAATATTAATGTTATTGTTTTAAATAGCGATTTTTTTTAATAACGTGTATTTGTTGAGTAGAGTTACATTCTACACTGCTGAGGTAGTGAAAACTAATACTCATAGTCGTAATTTTTCTAATAGTAATATTCTCAGAATTTATATCTAGATTACAATTATGTGTGTGATTTAAATTATTTCTCCCAAAATCTATTAATATAAAAATGAGCCCACCTCCAGTGGCACAGCGGTATATCTGCGGACTTACAATGCTAGAAACCGGGTTTCGCGTACCCGTCGTGGGCAGAGCACAGATATCCCTTTGTGTAGCTTTGCGCTTAACTTCAAACAAACAAACAATATAAAATGAATGGAGATTCTGTATTTCATTGTATCTATTGCAGATATATAAATCAATACATTACTACAGGTTGCTAAATTACTAAACTGCTAGTTCATACACACATTGGTATTCATTTCAGTGTAACGTGAGGTGCTGAAAATTGCCAGAACGTATACAATATTGCTCATTCTCTCTCTACTCACTTTAGCATAAAACATTCTGTTTTTTACTACATGGCCCGGCATTGCCAGGTGGTTAGAGAGCTCGACTCGCAATCTGCGGGTCGTGGGTTCGAATTCCCGTCACACCAAACATGCTCGCCCTTTCAACCGTGGGAGCGTTATAAAGTGACGGTCAATCCCACTATTCGTTAGTAGAAGAGTAGCCCAAGAGTTGACGGTGGGTGGTGATGACTAGCTGCCTTCCTTCTAGTCTTACACTGCTAAATCAGGGACGGCTAGCGAAGATAGCCCTCGTGTAGCTTTGCGCGAAATTCAAAATAAACAAACAAACCTTTACTACAGTACAAACGATGTAAATATAATTAATCAGTAGGAGGTTTCAATGAGATTATAAGTGAATTAGATTGTTTATGTAGATATGTTAAGGGTATTGAGAATGTTGAGGTGAACTTAGGAAATCAAATAACGAAAAAAAAAAGATGTATCTGCCTGTAATTATGAAAGATATAGTGTGGCATAGTTTTGTTAAAATTAAGAGATTTTCACTATACAACTCAACCTAAACGTACATGTCCGGCAAATGCTGAAGATTAATGAAAATTTAATCAAAACAGAATTGCCCATAGCTATGCAAAAGCTTCAAGTTTTAAAAACAATGCTATGATGTCTTGATTCCAATTTTGAATTCACTTCCACCTGAAACTGCCTACTTTAAACATTTGTCAGTAAAAACTCTTAATGATTATGCATTTAGCATAGAATATTTTGTAGAAGTAATTTAGATATGATGAAGTATCTGGTAAAAATCTAACAATTACATTATGTACATAATTTGGACTCCTACTCTGAAGACACTACTATCTACAGAGATGTTCTTTCAGAGGTTTTCAAGAACCATCAGTCAAATTATGACATAGAAGGACTAGTATATCAGTGGTTTATGACAAATGAGTATTTTATTCAATTTGATCTATTATTTAATATTGTTACGTTTCTAGTTGTTTGTTAATTTCCCTGTATAAATTCTTCCCGAGGAACTTCAACGATACAAGTCCTTTCTTAAATAAAACTAGTTTATTTTTTCTCAATACAACTTTGCAATACACTTAATTTCCACAGTCAATTTAACTTAAACACACGCTATAATTCAGTAAAGTGCGTGAATCGTTGTTACGGTCACTACCGCTCACTTGACTCGATTATCTGTCTCTATATCTCCCTATCTGCAATTATTTGCCGAACTTATATATACAAAAATAGAGGGCGTCTGGCAAACACTGAGCCTTCGTGATCCTTATAGAAACTCATCACGTGTTACCAGCGTCACGTGACTTCTGCTGTCGTGACAATATTATATAACTAAAATGTAAAAACGTTGATGTATAAAAATTATGTGTTTTTTGAAGATTCTACAATATGATCTGTATATAGAGAAGGAAATTATTGTTTTATGCAATACTTATGTATAAACTCGTCTTCAAAGTCTATTGGATCTATTGTTATATTCCTTCCATGGTTCTAAATTCAACTCATCCCCTGCTGTAAAACAACAGTCTTTTTCAGCTAATATATATTCACAGTCTTACATTCACAATTATCTGCAAGTCCAGGAACTTCATACTCACTAGCTTCCAGAAAAGTTAACCCACAAATTCTACCAATATTCTATTATTTTGATCCAATGATAATGAAGAAAAATTGTATATCAAATAGAACCTCTCAAAAATTGACAGAAGCCAGCTACTGGATGGTTTTTATGAAGAAATAACAGGACCAAACTTTGTAGGTATGAAGTATTTACAAATATATTTTTTCTAAATCCAGTTTTTAAATACATAGATTTGTGCTTTGTATGGTATTTTATGTGCAGAAAAAATTAATTAAACTGAGTTCAGTATTATAATTTATTTTCTTAACTACTATATAATTGCTTTATTCAGTTGCTATTAATATTTTTGAAGTTAGAATTTCCACATATTTTTGTAGAGAGTTATGTGCTATTTTAGCTTATATTTTTTTATTCTATTGTAATTTATATTTCTCTTAATTTAGTTTCCTGACAAACTTTGAGTGCAATGCTATTCACAGTAATGTTGTTAAATACTGTACTTTGCACAAGACCTGGAAATACTGGAAGCTAAGGTAATTACATTGGTATTTTATCTATGTAAGTATGATAAAGGTAACACCTGTAGATTTAGAAATTGTCAAAAAAATTAAGTTATAAAGTTATTTTAGTGAAATTAAAAACTTTTAATATCAGACATGTTTCTAAATATTTGGAAATGAGTTCTTATAATTACCTAAATATCTTACTTTTATTACATACTGTGAATGTCAGTCTTTCTACACTTTTTATAACATTTCATCAACACGATCTCAAAGAACAATACTTCTAAACTTTGCTGATGTCAGCCATAGTTGGTCATTGTATAATATTTATGCCACTGATTACTAAATAGGGAGTAGCTGTGGCAAAATCGGTAAAGTAGTGTGAGTATATGTAATTCAGTATAAATTAAATTGCTAGTGGTTGATTCAGTCTGATTCATGTTGGGAAAATTATTTTTATATTGGCTTTTAAAGGTTTTATAATAAAGCACAATAGCTCTGGTGGAGGACAAGTTTAGGAACACTAGGAAAAGCCTAAACTAGATTATTGAGTATGTAGTATCAAAAAAGAAGATAAAAGTAGAGAGTATTTGAGATAATAAAAATTACAAAAACATATGTTTGGGATATTAAATTTTTTCCAACACATTGTTGATAAGCAAATAATAATGAATCTATTAAACAATTCTTATCAGGAATGAAATCTCAGAAGAGACTAGGTCCCTCAAGGCAAGATGCAAAAGCAATCAGAGAAAGAATAGACTGGACATTTCCTGATAGACAAGAGATATTATTGTTCAAGAGAAATTGATATCAAACTAAGAAATAGAGTTTTTATTTAGTGAAGATGACATAAAGACAGTTATATGAAGATTATGTTCACAGTATGTCATATCTCTGCTGCACATCATAAGTGACAGGCCCCTATTTAGTCATGTTTGATGCTCCAAGTAATGCTACTAGTTTGATATCCATGATTTAAAGAATATAGAAAATGTATGCACTTATTAATTCTTGTTAGACTTGTAAAATATCAAGGTGCACTTCTCATATAACACCCTGACTGGAATCATATTATATATATGTATATTGTTTTTCCCCTAGATGGTATTGGAGCTGACAAACCTCAACCATAGAGATCTAGTAAAGGAGTTCATCAGCAGTTTAGAAAAATATGCACCTATAAAAATCAGATGGCCTCATACAAAGAGCTTCCCATTTAGAGAGAATGTCATCTGAAATTTAATTTGTTTTGCAGATATGAAAAATGCCTTGCTCTTCTTCTATGCAACTTGAAAGAATCTCTTTCCAGACTTCTTTTCTAAGGAAGAAACAAAATCACAAACACATATAAAACATCCATTTATTATTAGTGATAGATCAGATCATTTTCATCTGAAACTTCATATTTTTTCATGGCCAGAAACCAGGACAGTTGTATGAGTGTGTAAGAACCTTTCACATGCTTTGTTTATTCTTATGTGTGCATTTTACATCTTTAATTTAAAGTATCCAAAATTGATGGAGGAATAAAGACACAAAAGTTCTTGGAATTGTTGTTAAGATAAATACATCCTAATGAAATATTACAGAAAAGTTTTCCTAATATATATTTTTTACCTTTCTAATTAATAAGTTTTTGAATATAGAAAACATTATATCTGACATCCATATCAATTTCGGAAGAAATCCAACGACATGGTGGATTCATGGATTTCCTGTTTATTAAAGCACGTGTATTTTTTTCTTTGGAAAAATTATATAGAAGTTTTATATGAAAGTCAGTTTTGTTTGTCATTTGTCATCTTTGATGTACTTCAACTGATATATGTTTCTTATGAAACAAGTTTAAAAACATTGTTTGTAAATTTAAAGTAGACAAACCCAATTAATTTTTTTTTATTTTAAAAACATTTAAGCTTAGTTTCATATATCCAGTTTCTTATTGGTGTTAGAAATTCCTATACAACATTTCATCTCATAAGAGAGAAATTTTCAAGTATACAGTTCAGAATTCAAAGAAAACAGAAATTTGCATTACTTCTGAATTCTGAACTTTGCACTTGGGATTGTCTTTTTTTATAAGATAAAATTTTATGCCTGAATCTCCAACAATCATAAGAAGTTGAATTTAAGAATAGTGATAATATTAATTTGTGAGTCTCTCCTGAAAAGAATAAAGTGTATGAAACAAATTTAATCTTTGGTTTTAATTTCTGTTTGAAATGCATAATAATAATAACATATATATGTAGTCAGTGAGACAAGAAAAGTCTGATGGACACTGCATGGTAACAATATGACTCCCGGGTAGTTGTTTCATGAAAAGAAGCCATACTTCATAAATAAAATTCATTTTCTAATTTTTTTTCCATTGTCAGTGTATTTGATAAGCATGGTGAATCTCTTTTATTCTTAATGTACCATTATCTGCACAGCTGTTGATTTTAAACTAAAACTGATTATTGCATGACCATGTGGAAAATATCCCATGAGTTTCTGCAGAGTGTTCAAGCTCCAAAACATGTAAATGTTAAAGAATCTAAATTATCCTGCAATAGAATTAGATTGTTTTTTCCAAACCAAACATCCTTTCTAATTCAAGGTATTTGCATCAGAGACTTCTGCATTGACTGTTTAAATATGAGTATTTTTCAATGACTTCATTAAATGTATCCTCTGAATTTGATGAAAAGCTGGAATGATTGTATGACTAATTGAATACAAATTGTTGAAGTACCTTTTTTCTGTAGACTGTAGAGCAGAGATTGGTCATGCAATTAATAATAAATTTGTAATTCTCTGTGACGGGCTATTTAAATTTTTGTGAAATGAACTTTTTTTGCTATTGTTTTCTATTTAATAAACTGATAAAGAAGTTTTTGGAATAAATACCATGGAAAATCTTCTGTCAACTGAAAGCAAAGTACCAAATTGTTTCATAATGTTATGTAAGTCATTTTTCAACAATATATTATCCTGTCAATCTGTTCCATGTGAAGTAAAAACTTAACTAGAGTCTTTAACTTACTTCGTGTTTAGCTTACTTTTTCATAACATCTTTACAGGCTTTACCCTTTCTTATAATCTGGCTCTTTTTTTATATACATATATTTATATAGCTGACCCCTTTATTCTCACTTGGTTGTTTTTGCACATGTGAAATGTTTTTATCAGATTACATTCTTCAAAGGATAAATACAACATAATCCTGAGAGATCAAGTAACATGATTTATATAAAATGCTATTAACTCACTGATTTAAACCTAGGGTTATAAACTAATAAATTAAGGTCATTATGAAAAGCATTAGCTACAGTTTCGGCTGTAGCTATTGCTTTCTATAATGGCGTGATCTAAAAATATAGAAAATGTTAGTTATGACGCATATGTTAATTTAAACATGAAGAAAATAATAAGCTAAAATATATTCTTCTGTGCTGATTTTTATAGCACTCTTTACATTGTCAAATTGTCTCTGCTTCTTATTAACAGTCCCCCGATGAGTCAGAGGTAAGTTTAGGACTTCCAGTGCTAAAATCCGGGACTCGATTTCCCTCAATGGATAGAGCGCAAATAGCCAATTATGTAGCTTTGCGATAACAAAATGATAACGTCGGTACTAACGTTATTAGTTGCTTAATAACATAATTAATTTGGATAACATTTTATCACGTTTTGTGATGACTTAGGATAACACAATGACTTCAAAATATTACAAGTATAGAATAAGGATGATTTAGGGACGGAAATCCCAAAAAGTACAGAGACATGGTAGGGATGAACACACAAAACCATACAAAAGTCTCTATGTAAGTAGTCAAATCTTTCCAAAAACTATCATCGGCAACTAAATGTTGAATTCCTCTCATTGGCATGAATTCAAGTTGGAATAAAAGCATTTAATCTGAATAATGCTATAATGTCCTACAATGGCTTGTTCCCGTAAGCTTGTAAAATTGTCTCAGTGGCTACTCATATCGGGATCTTTGCATGGTTTTGTGTATTCATCCCTACGTTGTACGTTTCTGTACATTTCGGCATTACCATCCCAATATTATCCTTATTTTTCAATTTTTTTTATTTGTTTTCCCTCTTATCTTAAACAATACCAATGAATATTTTATAATGAATGGTAGTCGCTATGAAAGCAGCAGTTTTAGCCTGGCGTGATGAGTTGTCTTGATGGACATCATATGTTGAAGTTAGTGAAACGCTACACTACTTCTTCACTCCACAGGTTAAAATGCAACATTTTTGTGTGTAAATCATTGAAACAACTTCAAGTATTGGTGAGCTAGGTCTTCTGACGTCAGAATCAGAATAATCAGCAGAACATTTGGCTGTAACGTTACTCGCCGGTTCTCTACTTTAGCGATGATTTTTGGCTAAACTGACGGTCTTAATAGTTTTTGAAAACCTAAGTCCCTTAGATTGTTGTAAGAGAGATTTCAGACAATGATGAGCAATACATAATATGCGACGACCATTTTTCCCGTCCCATCCCTACATACTAAGCACTGCCGTGCTTAAGAAGAAGTATCGATGCGATGATGCATAACAACATATACAAGGTGTATTATAGTGTGGTGTGTACATTATTAAAAGACCTATATGCATTCTATAAGTAAAAGGACCATTGTATCTAAATCACGGCAAAAATTTAGACAGTATGTGCGTCAAAAACAAGCTAAATATCCAGTAAAGCAAATTTCTTTAGGTTCATAAATTTTAAACGTAAAAAATGAATTGTACATGATGATTTATACTTTCTTACAGACTGAAAAAATTGTTTGACTATGTAGCCCGTTTGACCACAACCAAGACTACCTTTGGGATCTTTAAACTATACTGTCTTACTGTGAAGCAACCAGGTTATAGCGAGTGTGTGCTAAACAGGATTGTAACCGGCGAGAAAATAACTTGTCGAAACCAGTTTAGTATAGCACATATGAAATTAACCTATGAGCTATTATATTATCTTAGGCCAATTTGCTTCTTTCAGAAATTCCTATTGTAAATATCGTTTTATTAGATGTCTTCGTTTACGTATAGCAAACACGAAATAGAACTGTTGAAACCTTTCAAAATCAGCTGGAGATAAGTTGTTTATAAAACTACATATTTCGCCAATCTACTGATCTATATATTTCTGTCACTTTCGAACATTACAGAAAGATAAATTAAAAATATGCAGGAAAAGTATACTTACTGTCGTATATATCTCTAAGTTAAATTAGTAAGGATTAATCTCAAGCGCAATGCCTATTTTTGCCATGTAACAGTGTATTGATGTAAAGAAAGAGAAGAACCAGGTGATATTCTTCGTTACGTTTTGAGAACTACTTAATCAAACCACACATTTGAGTTAGCGCAATGCTAGACAGCCTCAGTCTTCATTTTCGTAATAGCAAAGGAAATTTATGAATAACTACACAACCGCTGTGAATGATCAACTATGATAAGCACACACACACACTTATACATAACACATAATTTAGAAGGGAAACACAAGCATAATCGTGTGTAGTATTACTCGGTACAGGCTATACACAGTCTATGTACTAGACATGAAATGAAACATGAGTGGACTGAACAATTCGGATCGCTCTTGGGGTATACTGTGACACTCCTGTTTAATAATTGTATCATAACCTCCTATTATATCTCAACTAAACAACGAGATGTTATTTTCTAAACTGCAAAGCCCTTTGTGATTTTTTAAGATAAGTAAAAACATAGAATTACCAGTCGTTAATCTTCGATAGCTAGTGGGCGTGTAGTAATCTTGTTCGTGGTGACATGTGGAAGAAACTTAGGTCAACATGACGTCATGTTTGTAGACCGAAAGCTCATTTGTAATGGCAACGTGTGCTAATAATATTCTGTCATCCTATAAATATAAACTACTCACTTAGCCTTGAAAACAAAATTAAAATCTTTAATAATATACTATCTTAGTAGATTAACACCCAGTCCTAATATTCTTTTTTGCATTAATGAAGTAATAAATGAAGAAAAATTAACAATGTATTCAGAAATTTCAGATGAGTTTGTCATGTTACTTTCAAAATTGTTTGTTTTTGTTTGTTTGTTTTTTGAATTTCGCGCAAAGCTACACGAGGGCTATCTGCGCTAGCCGTCCCTAATTTAGCAGTGTAAGACTAGAGGGAAGGCAGCTAGTCATCCCCACCAACCGCCAACTCTTGGGCTACTCTTTTACCAACGAATAGTGGGATTGACCGTCACATTATAGCGCCCCCACGGCTGAAAGGGCGAGCATGTTTAGTGTGACGGAATTTCGAACCAGCGACCCTCAGATTGCGAGTTGAGCGCCCTATCCACCTGGCCATGCCGGGCCTGCTTTCAAAATTACTGTGACAGTGTAGTTTAAGCTTATTGATTCAAGAATATATGAAAGTAATAACTTATTGAAATTTTCACAGCTATATATTTAAGGAGATTCTTGAAGAAACTGGTAGTTAAATTGGAAGGGAATGAAAACGCATGCTGTTGATGTACTTGCTTTTTGTGTTTTCTCTTTTAAATGTAAGATCACGCAGAATTTTCTGCAATTAATCATATGTTTGAATGGTGTTACTTTCCATATGTCGTTTAGTAACTGTCAGAAATTATGCACCAAGTGATGTACTTTCTTGAAAACCTTGATCCTACGGGAAAAAATGCTTCGGTTTAGAAACAAGAAAAAGTAATTACAGATATTTCTGTATCTTCATATAGTAGACAAATAGAAAACTGAAAAATGACCTACTTTTCAAATGATATACGTTGCACCAAAAAATCCTAAAATAAAATAAATTGATTAAGAAGGGTTATCCTATGTTAACAGGAAAAAACAAAATCGAGTGACACATATATATCTAGAATAGGAAAAACTTAAAAAACAACAACACTAGTGTGGCATTTTCCTGCTGATGGATTTTCCGCAGAGTAGTCAGTTAGGGCTTACTAACTGGAGGTTCGAAGGATACCGAGTTATGGAGTATGTATCTGTTTATATCTTCGTCAGAAAAAAAATAGAACCACGGTAGGTGCACAAGAAAGATCTTATATAACAAATAACACAGCAAACAAGGGAAAGTGTGTCTGTTATGGTTGTGTAAGATTGGAAGAGATTTTTTGTTTGTTCATAGTTAAGCACAAAGCTACACAAAGGACTCTGCCCATCGCGGTTATCGAAACCCGATATTTAGAATTATAAGCCTTCAGACTTATAATAACAACTTACTTAAGCCAAATTTGCACATCTGTACGAGACCACTGTCCACTCGTGTTCGAATGCTGGGGTGAGTGATACTCCAGGCCATTACAAAATTGGCTGACAGAAAAGA